AATCAAAACCACAATGAGATACCACCTCACACCAGTGAGAATGGGGAAAATTAACAAGGCAGGAAACAACAGATGTTGGAGAGGATGCGGAGACAGGGGAACCCTCTTGCACTGTTGGTGGAAATGTGAACTGGTGCAGCCCAACCTGGAAAACTGTGTGGAGGTTCCTCAAAGAGTTAAAAGTAGAACTGCCTTACAAGCTAGCAGTTGCACTGCTCCGGATTTACCCCAAATATACAGATGCAGTGAAACACTGGGACACCTGCACCCCAATGTTCATAGCAGCAATGTCCACAATAGCCAAACTGTGGAAGGAATCGGTGCCCATCGAAAGATGAATGGATAAAGAAGATGTGGTCTCTATATGCAATGGAATATTACTCAGCCATTAGAAACGACAAATACCCACCATTTGCTTCAACATGGATGGACCTGGAGGGTATTATGCTGAGTGAAGTAAGTCAGTCGGAGAAGAACAAACATTATATGGTCTCATTCATTTGGGGAATATAAAAAATAGTCAAAGGGAATAAAGGGGAAAGAAGAGAAAAAAAGTGAAAATATCAGTGAGGGTGACAGAACATGAGAGACTGCTAGCTCTGGGAAACGAACAAGGGGTAGTGGAAGGGGAGGTGGATGAGGGGATGGGTGATTGGGTGATGGGCACTGAGGGGGTCACTTGATGGGATGAGCACTGGGTGTTATGCTATACGTTGGCGAATCGAACTCCAATAAAAAATATATTAAATTTTTTTTAATTTTACAATTACATGTTATAAACATATTCTTCATTTTTGACTTCCTTTATCTGTATTTAATTTTATTTTTGTAAATATATGTGTGTATATATATTATATATATATAAATTTTTCTTTTTTATACCATTAGAATTTAGTATCTTTTAACACAGAGAACAAAATACACTCAGGATCAAGTGGATCACCCTGTTTTATCCACTCTGTGAGATTATATTCTCTCATTACCACCCATTCCACCCCTCCATTCTTTCTCTCTCTCTTTCTCTCTCTCTCTCTCTCATTTTTCTTTTCTTTTTCTTTGTATTTTTTCTATCATTTTCTGGTTCCTGAACTATTCAGAATTGTCTAGTCTGTATTTTGTTTGGGCCATCATTGATATTTTTGACTCTGCACACTTGTACAGTCATTCTTCACTGGACAAAAAGACTAGAAAAAGGAATTTACAACAAAAGAAAGAACCAGAGGTAATACTCTCTGCCACAGATATAATGAAAAAAAAATAAAAACTACCTATGAAGCTCCTTCTGTGTGCCGGGCGCTGGGGATACAAGACAGAGAAGGCTGCTGTTCTCCTGGAGCTTACATTTCAGTGGCGACACAGGCAATGAGCAAGAAAGGAGGCCAACTAAAAAAATAATATCAGGTAGCAGTAAGCAGCAAGGAGATAATGAAGCCAATGGCTATGTTAGCGAGCTCCTCAGTGGTGTGGAGCTGCTATGGCTGTGTGATCCGTGAAGGTCTCTTTAAGGAGACACATTCAGACTGAAATCTGAATGAGTCAGAGGAAAGAGCTTTCTAGGTGGAGAGCTAGCAAATGCTGAATCTCTTGGGCAGAATGGTCTGTGGAGGAATCCAAAGAGGCCTGTGTGCATGAAGCAAAGTGAATGAAGGGGAAAGGTAGGGGGTAAGACAGGGACTAGGCAGGAGCAAGTGGGGCATTACCTGAAAGGCCACCCAAGAGGTTTGGTTCTGAGCTGAGGCAATGGAGAATCACCCAAGGTTCTCAGAGGAAGATATAATCTGGTGTCTGAATTACCTTTAGAAGACTGTGCCTCATGGGATCCCTGGTGGGAACTCTGGGACCACGCTAAAGATTCTGAGTCCCTTGAGGGCAGGAACCACAGCTTTGTGTTCAGTATGCTGCAGGCACTAGGTGTTAGAAATAATATTTCTATTATTTGAATATCTTGAATTGAATATCTGAATCTGCCATGAACAAAATCACAGAGCTGAAAATGAGTATCAAATGGGGTGGGGGCAAGGATCAGCAAGAACCAAGAGTGGGGCATCTGGCTGCACCATGGTTTTACTTTTGAGCTCTGATGCCTGCCATCTGGAAAGCAGCAGTGCCTCCAAAGTGCAGCAGTATCTTCCTGACCATGCTTTTCAAAACCTCTGAGAATGGAGATGAGAAATAAAGATCCCCAAGGGATTCCACTGGCATCTGGTTGCAGGAGTCTAGGTGGGTCAGTTGCCAACCCCCGAAACAGAACTTTACCTGATTTTCTTATTCTGTCAGCCTCCCTCCTTATATATCATATATGTGAAGGGCGACAGCTGTCAGATTTCTGGCCCTTTACAAATTTGGATTTGTCCTTTAAAAGTGGTTTCCTGGGACCCCTGGGTGGCGCAGCGGTTTGGCGCCTGCCTTTGGCCCAGGGCGCGATCCTGGAGACTCCGGATCGAGTCCCACGTCGGGCTCCCGGTGCATGAAGCCTGCTTCTCCCTCTGCCTGTGTCTCTGCCTCTCTCTCTCTCTGTGACTATCATAAATAAATAAAAATTTAAAAAAAAAATAAAAGTGGTTTCCTTAAGCATTATGCCTGGAATTCAGCTGGCTTGTGTCTGAATGGATCAACTGACTTGATTCTCCCAGGAATGCAAATCCGGGTAGAGCTTCATAAACAGAGAGGCAGGCTATTGCTGATGAAAGAGCATGCAAAACTCTTCACCAGGAACTCAGAAAACCACAAAGCTAGTAAATATGTTTTTCTATGAACATGAATGATTAAAATAAGTACTGAAATACCTGTTACCAAATTATCATTAATAAGAAAGTGTTGGGTCATTGAGAGCAAAAGTGAAAAGAATACAAACGGGCAGGAATTTAAGATATTGTGATTTAGGCCAACTCCAGTTTTATATATTTTGCTTCACTAGGGACTCTGCCTTTCTTTTACCTACCAGGCTTTTGTTAGAAAGCTTCAACCCGTGGCCTGACAACAATTTTTCATCTCACACCTCTCTCCTGCTAAAAATATGAATTGCTTTGCTGATCAGCTCTAATTACTCCAAGGGAAAAACTGATTTACGCCTGTATTCTGCTGGTCCTCCAAAAAAGCCTTGGGTCTCTAAATGCTTCTTGCTTTGATAAAGAACCACTTTCTATATCGCATTTTTTTTTCTCTGCACCACCTACCTTCATTTTAACCAGAAGAAGAGAGAGCATGCAGAGACATAGCTGGTCCAAGAGATAAACTTCCAACAGCTGGTTTTCACCTGACCTTCTTCTTTTACAAAATCCCTTCCTTATAAAGTAAATATTGGTGTGAACGTGTAATCATCACCAGAAAATAAGGACAACGAGTGCAGGGCATAGTGTCTCTCTCCACAGTGTCTCTCTCAGCACATCAAGAGATGGAACAGGTACACGTAAAATCAGGCATTCAAGCTATTTTGTCCTAAGTGCCAAGTGAATGGAGAAGGCCAACAGGGCTCTGGGATCACAGGAAGGTCATTCTTAAGAGCCCAGATAGGGGATAGAGCCAGATGAATGATGCTGACTATCATGGGAGTCCTTCTAGTTCTGTGGAGAGGGAGATGAGGGCAGTTGAAATACGGAGACAGCATGAGGAAAGGAAAGGAGAAAGCACATGGCAACTGTATTCATTTCCTGAGGCTTTCATAACAAATTACCATGACCTATATGGCTTAAAACAGCAAACATTTATTTTCTCACAGTGTGGAGCCTACAAGTCTGAAATCAGGTGTTGGCATGACCATCTTCCCTTATCTGGCTCCAGAGAGCACCCTCTCTCACCCCTTCCCCATCTCTGCTGGTGGCCAGCAGTCCTTGGCATTCCTTGGCTTTCAGCCTTATCACTCCATCACTGTCTCTGTCTTCACATGTGTGTCTCTAGGTCTCCTTATAAAGACAACAGTCATTGGATTTAGGGCCCATCCCACTCCAGTATGACTTCATCATGACTCTGTATCTGCAAAAGCACTGTTTCCAAAGTAAGGTCACATTCTGAAGTTCCAGCTAGGCATGAATTTGCGGGGCACATTATTCAACCCACTACCATGAGCCTTCAGAAAATAGTTTGTGAGTGGAAAATCTGTCAGGGAATAAGAGCAGACAGAGGTCAGACTGAGAAAGATGCTAAGCACTACTTTACAGGCTGTCTTTCCCATGGGTAGAGATCATAACAACAACAGCTAACATTTATATAGCACTTGCTACAGGCCAGGTGCCACTCTGAGGTGTGTGTGTACTATTAGCCTATTTACAGATGGGGAAACTGATACACAGAGAGACTACATGCCAGAAAGAAACAGAGCCGATATTTGGATCAAGGCATGGGCTGGAGAGCCCATGCTCTCATTCCCATTCCCTTTCCAAACATTTTTTAATGCATTTGATCAGAACAGGATATGCAGTAGTTTCCTACCACAAGCAATGACCTCGCAAGCAAAGAAGTAACCCATTTGCCTTTGGTCCGCAGTAAATGTGACCATTTTTGGGGAATGGGAGTGCTAATTTTAAACTCCTAGAACCTTCAAGGATGGGGTTGCTTGGAGGGCTTATGAGCCATACCCATTCCCCTACCTGCAGCCTAGATGGACAAGTACACCTGGCAATGCCCTAATCTTACCTGATCACCTTTCCTAGTGCTTTACAACTAGGATGACCAACCATCAGAATCTGCATGGGACTGAGGAGCCCCCTGGGTGTGGGAATTTCAGTTTAGAAACCAGGACAGTCCTTGACAAACTGGGATTGAACTAGTCACCCTACTTATAGCCCCCCATGTCATCTCCTGCCAGAAAAGTCTCTCTAACAAAGATTCTAGCACTCACAGGGAGAGAGCTCAGTGTCTTAATTGATACCCCTCATTTTTAGAGATGCAAATGATGTCTTGATTCTGGTCAGTAGGAAGGTATCTGGAAGTAGGCAGCACAGTGGTAAAACCTCATGGGAATGCTGGAATTATTTAGAATGGTGCGCTTTTTTTTCTTACAGGAGAAGAGGATGAGGAGGAGCCTGAGATGCCTGTGGGCCCCCGCCCACGACCACTCTCTGAGCTGCACCTTAAGGAAAAGGCAGTGCCCATGCCAGAAGCCAGTGCGTTTTTCATCTTCAGCCCCAACAACAGGTGTGTATGAATGGTGGGGAAGGTGGGACTCTGCTCTCCCCATGCCACAAGCACAGCAGATGCCAGCATCTTCCAATCTCTGAGTGGAACCTGGGACTTTCCCAGATCCCAACAACTTGCGTAAACAGGCACTGATTAGGGAAAAGTATCCTGGATTCCAAATCAGTAGACCAATGTCTGTTTTTCCCTCCATTTTTTGACAGGTGTGAACTATTTCTGTAGTCTTTTGGTGATTACACTTGGTGATCTACTAAGTCTATTTAACTTAACAAAGTCTAAAGTTAAGCAGTATCCTAAACCTCCTCCTGCAAAATAGGAGCTTTTACTATTTTAACTCCCCTCAGCCCTGCTACCTCACATGTTCTTATTGCTTGGTATTTTAGTCTTGATCTTTATTTTCAACTTAACAAGTTAGATATTATCATCATCATCATTATTATTATTATTATTATTATATAGGCAATGTAGATTTGGATTTTTTTTAGAGATTTATATTCTTTTTTTTTCTTTAAGATTTTATTTATTCATTCATAGAGACAGAGAGAGAGAGAGAGAGAGAGAGAGGCAGAGACACAGGCAGAGGGAGGAGCAGGCTCCATGCAGCCTGACGTGGGACTCGATCCAGGGTCTCCAGGATCACGCCCTGGGCTGCAGGCGGGGCCAAACCACTGCGCCACCTGGGCTGCCCTAGATTTGGATATAAATATACAACTTGCCATTTTACTTATTCACCATTTTTCTTGTACATCTCAGTCCATCATTCTGCCATCATTTTCTTTCTTTCTAAACACATTTTTTAGAAGCCCCTAGAGTTCCTTATGATAGAGTCATTTGGCCTCTGTTTATCTCTAATTGTTTTCATTTCTTGTTCTTGGAAGATAGTTTTGCTATGTACACAATTTTAGGTCAATAGAATTTGTGTCTCAGTTAAACATAATATTAGACTGTACTGTTCCATTCCTACTATCATTCTTTTATAGATAATCTGCCCCTTATCGTCAGCTGATCTGAACATCTTCTGTTGCCTTGATGTTTAGGTTTACTACTACGTATCTAAATATTCTTTTCTTTCCATTTATCCTGCATGGGATGTTATGGATTTATCTTTTTCTCTGGTTCTTGAACAACAGTAAAAATTAGAAAAAGAATTTCTAATTCCTAAAAAGTTGCATCCATAATCTCTTTCTCTCTAATCCTTCCTTCTGGCACTCCAATTAAATATATGTCAGACCTTCTCATTCTGTCCTCCTATCTCCTACTGTGTCTTGCAAATCTTTCACCTCTTTGTCTTTCTTTTGGTATTCAGGGTAGTTTCTTCAGATATATCTTCCAATTTCTTCATTCTCTCTTCAACTTTGTCTATGTTACTGTTTAAACCAATTTTTTAAATATTTTATTTATTTATTAATAAGAGACACATGGAGAGAGGCAGAGCCATAGACAGAGGGAGAAGAAGGCTCCCTGCGGGGAGTCTGATGTAGGACTTGATCCCGGGACCCTGGGATCATGACCTGAATCAAAGGCAGATGCTCAACCATTGAGCCTCCCAGGTGCCCTAAACCAATTTTTATATCAATTTACTCTTTTGTCTTTCAAACAGTTCCATTTGATGGTTGATTTTCCAGATCCATCTGTCTATATCTACTACTTCCTTTGTTGATTCATCATCTTCATGCTCATCATTTGTTCTGTTAAATATTCTGTCTGCATTCTCTATCTGATATGTCCAGAATACATAGTCTTTGGGTGGGGGTTCTAAAGCACTTATTTGTAGTTTCTTCTGATTTACCATCTTAGTGGCCCATCCTCTTGTATGCTTAAAGATCTTTGATTGTGACCTCAATACATCATCTTAATTGGTGAGATTCTTGTGGATCTAAATTAAGATTGGGAAGCTTTCTTCAAGATGCTTCTAAAGGATGTTGGCTCAGTCCTAGGCTTCTGTGTCCTGCCTCACATCTGGCTTGAAATTCAGTTTCCTGATAGCAGTTTTACTACTGGCATCTATCCTCAGCCAATTCTATCTTTCTTGGCTGACTATCACACAGACCCTGGGTCAGTGGATTTGTTAGTTTGAAAGGGATAATCATTGCAAACCTCCTAACTCTAATGAAGCCAGAATTATCTCAAAGGGTTTACCCTTCCCAGGATTTGCTGCTTCCACAGCAGTAGGGTCTCTCAGAGCACTTAGTCAATGAACAATGCTGTGAACAGAAGTCTAAAAGCCTGGATTCAAGCCCTGAAACCACCCCCACCCCCACCACCCCAACACACACACACACACACACACACACACACACACCACTCTACAAGCTGTCTTTCTAGACCAGCCTATCCTTCTCAGGCTTCAGTGTTCTTATGTATAAAATGGAGATAATAACACCATATCCCCTTCCTAAGCTGCCAGTATGAGATAGTATATAAGACACACTTGGCATTCAAAGATCTAACACTTGTGGCACTGTCAGTGAGTGCTCAGAAGTCCATATATGTAGTTCTTTGTAATTATGCTGAAGTGTAGAATTGAATGGCATGCCTTGAAGCTATTACACAGGAACAAATTGCCTAGCCAGAATGTAGGTTTAGCTGGCTTCCCACCATCCACATCTCTGAGTGGCTCTGTCATTCCCTATACATAAAAATATGAAAATCTTATAAAATGATTTTTTAATGACGTGACAAAGAAGTCCCCCCAAAAAAAGCCAGTTGTTAATGTTACAGAAGTATATGAAAATTTGGGGATTCACCAGTCTCAGATGTAACCCACCAAAATGTCAAAAACTTACTGCCTATGAAAGTGCTTTAGAACTGAAAAGTTCTGTGCAGATGTGCCTCACAGTGAGGGGCATGGAGGGGAGTGAGATATGGTTGTCATTACCCAGCAGCAGTAAGACATCGGGTAAAAAGCCCATCCCCAAACTAACAAGCACCTTTCACAAGCTGAGAGGAGTGATGAGTTCCAGAGACCTGGGAGCTGCTTTCCTTGCCTTCCTGACATGCTTCTGTCCTCTCTTCCACCCCATGCAGATTTCGCCTCCAGTGCCACCGCATTGTCAATGACACGATCTTCACCAACCTGATCCTCTTCTTCATTCTGCTCAGCAGCATTTCCCTGGCAGCTGAAGATCCTGTCCAGCACACCTCCTTCAGGAACCATGTACGCATTCCGTTTTTTTCCCCTGCACCTCTTCCTCCCGGGAATGGGACTGGGCCCACAGCTCTGCTACTGACCTCAATCAGGATCCCAATTCCAAATATTATAATCAGATGCACAATAAACATTCTTGAAGACACTAAGGCTTTGGTAGAAACCATCAAAAACAAATAAGAGAATATGTACCAAATGCCTCAGGCTGGCCTGATTGGCAAAGTTTAGGACTCTCATTGTCCTGCGCATGTTTCCATGAAAGCTCTGATTCCTTGTATGCTTAGTAAGAAAAAAGTAGCCACTGACTTCCAGCATTGCTCCCAATAAACCCTGAGGGACACAGGGGGAGCCTTGGCAAACAGGTGCCAATGGTGAGGCTGACCTTATATAAAGGAGAGCTTCAATGACCTTGTGTAGAGGAGAAAACTAAATTTGGAGACCCACCCAAGGCTCTGGTGAACCACATTAAAGGCTAGAGTAAGAATTGTTATATCTCGAAGCCTTAAAACTTTGTAAAAATCCCAACCAGGTGGGCATGAAGAGGAGTCCACCAACCTAAAGCCTTACCCATGCCAAACAACTTGGTGGTCCTGCAGCCTGCTTGATCCAGAGTTTTCTTAGAAAGATGTTGGCCCTAGCTCTGATCCATCGTCTGGTGGATGAGACCATGTAGTCTGCCCCAAGCCTAGGCAGTCCTCACCTGGAAGATGCTCCCTCCCATGCCCCAAAGAACACGCCAGGATTTCCACCAACATGAGAAGCTAGCTGAGTCACACCAATGTGAGTTAAGCATTTGGCATTTTCCTGCAATAAAAAGCAAACCCTACTCTCTGTCTTTTTGACACACATCCCAGTGGTCTGATTGGAGTTTGTAAGTAAATTGGATTAATGATAAAAGCATCCAACCAAATGCTGCCCAGACCCAGGACCAGTTGAGTCCTGCCCTGGAGGCTCCCCCTCACAGTCGGGGGACTTCATCTGGAGCCACTAAGCTGCCTGAGGCCAGCCCTGCTTCAGGATCCAATGTTGTGTATATATACTACTCATCTCCTAACTCACTTCCATATGTCTCCATGTGGGAAAGCTGATGTGATGTGTAGTGTGGTTCTGGAGCTGAACTCTCCTTCCAGCCTGCTTCCCTCCCTTCCCACCCCATCCCCACCCTGTTTCTTTTTGTTTTGCAGATTCTGTTTTATTTTGACATTGTTTTCACTACCATTTTCACCATTGAAATTGCTCTGAAGGTAAAGCCCCAACCCCTCTCTCCTCTTCCCATCCTCTAGGAGCCGGCACTAGCTCTCTGTCGCTAACACACATGCTTCTGTTGGTGTCAAGTTCACTCTCAGAGCCACTAATCCAATTGTGCTTATTTTTCAGATCCTAGGCAATGCAGACTATGTCTTCACTAGTATCTTTACATTAGAAATTATCCTTAAGGTAATGCAATCTGAGCAATGCACTCTCTGTCTCTTTCTCCCATCTATCTCTGCTGTATCTGCCTATCTCTCTTCTCTCTTGTTTCTTTCACTCTCTCTTTTTTACTTTCAGTCCTGAGATTGGAAGAATTAGTGCCCCTCACTTTGTGCTATGTGCTTTGCTCAGGCTCAGAAGCAAAAGAAACCCACCCCTATTGCTGTGCTTCCTCGCAGTCTGGAAGAGGCATATGACTCACAGTGTCAACACTGATGCTGTCCTATCGCCAGGTTTGGCAATGTGCCAGTCTCCAACCCCCACTAAGCCACACACACCCACATATACCCTATCTCCGGTAATTGATGACTGACCCCTGCTTAGAACTCCTTTCCCTCGTCCTGCCCAGAAGAGATGCTGCTCAAACTCCAAGAGTGGAGAAGCTGGGACATGGACAATCACTTTGTCAAAAAGTCAATTTGTCAACAAATTGTCAATCCCTTCCTCAGTATTAGTGGCAAGCACCAGAGCTTGGCCGGAGTTGGGCCTGTGTGATAGTAAGCATAGGCCTAATGCAAGATTTGGGACCAGTCTTCCAATGAGGGCTTTTAACAGACAACTGTAGATTACTTCTGAATCCTCAGTTTCCTACTGAAAATCTTTGCTACAATGCCCTTTGCCCTAAGCATGGAGGAAGGAAAATTGTACTAGAGAGCTGAGCACAGGGGAGAACCAAGAGCTGAAAGAAACTGGAGCACCCAGTTCCCAAGCCCCAGTCCTGAGAGCTCACCAGCCCAGCCCTGCCTGCAGCTGGCCGCCCCAGGGTCTGATGGCTATGATTGCAGAACTGCAGACATATCCTTTCAGTGGAGCCCACCTCTAAAAGTATGGGAATGAGAGAGATTGTTTTCTAAGTTTCACTTTATTACTTATATGAATTTATCATTACTATAATATTTATATTTATTTTATTATTTCTAAGTTTTCTGGCATACTTCTGAGCCTCTAAAATAATGCATAGTCAAGCCACCCCATCTGAGACTCAGGGTGTGAGTTCTGAGACCCGGGAAAAGTGCATTTCAGCATTTGCTGCCTCCTCAGAACCACAGAATATATTTTACCATTAGTGTGAACAGAAGGGCTGTAGGCTCTAAAGCATATGCTTCAGTTTGGTGTCTTCTTCCTGGATGATGACCTAAGACTCCTCCTCCCAAGGAGTCCAGGCTCCCTTTTCCCCCTTCCTGGGGCCGCTGCAAGCCACTGTCCACACTTGACCATGTGCCACAGCCAGCCTATAGACACACCCTTCCTCGCTAATGCAACTCCCAAGTCATGACCCAACTCTTTAATGCACATGACATCCTGTCACATCCAGATAGAAGTTGAGTGGTGCAGATTGGGGTGCCTCCACTGTGTCTTTATCTCCAAAAAGCTGAGCTTCCCAGACCCCCACCTTCTATCCCTGGTTCCAGTGACCAAGGGTATTCCTTGGGTTTTCTCTTCTACTCAACGACAGTGGATCTGACCAGGCCCTGATTCCTGGGGTCAGGGGGGAGCCAAGAGCTGCCTGGCTGCATTAAGATATACTCTGTAAAACCCTCTTTACATGACGGGCACTGAGGGGGGCATTTGACGGAATGAGCACTGGGTGTAATTCTGTATGTTGGCAAATTGAACACCAATAAAAAATAAATTTATTATTTAAAAAAATAAATTTATTATTTAAAAAAAAAACCCTCTTTCCATGGTGAGCTGAGTTCTCCTGGTCTTCAGACCCAGGGAGACACACAAATACCCAAAACTCCTTCCCAGGACAAGAAAAGCTCTGAGTACCAGTTCTCAGGATTACTCCACAGAGCTCTCCTCGTGGATTTCAATGGTGCTATTTTTCCTTCAAGGTTGCCATGCAAGCAGAAGTGAAAGGTCTCTTTGCAAGCATTGTCATAAGATCCTTCCTTCTTTTCACCCTCTCCCTCTTCTACTCCCTTTGTGACTCAGCGTGCTTTTAAATATAAACCCCAGTCCCCACACCACTTTCTTGCACCTCCTTCCACTGGGCCCCTCTGCCTTGCCTGATGGCTCAGCTTCCCACCGTCCAAGGGGTATTTAGTCTCAAGAACAATAGAAAGACCTGGGGACATTTGGCCATGACGGTTGGCCTGCATACTGCAAAGGACTATCACATAGAGGAGGAACCAGGCCCAGTGAGTACAAGTTACAAGATGCATCTAGTAACTAGAAAAGCTACCTGGGCATGTGGTGGTCGCCTGTGGATGGACAGAGGGGTTTTCCTACCCTTCCAGCTCAGACAGTCAACAATCTTATGCCCACCTTTTTTCTTCCTTCTGCCTGAAAATACCCCAGCAATAGACTTTTCCTATGCAATGGCTTAGGACATTTAGGGAGCAGGAACTAAGTGGATGGCCATCAGCCAAACAGGGTAAAGGAAGGACACTTTGCATTGGATACCTGAACCTGGCCTCTTCTGTTGTCTTAAATGCCTAGGATAATTTTCAAATAAATTCTCCATTTTTTCAGCATCCACTTGCTCTTTCTCTCCTGACCACTCTTCCTCTGGCCCTACCTAGGCATGTGTCACCCCCACCCACTACATACACACACACACACACTTTCTGGAGTACTGGTCTCATTCTAGGTCTCCTAGAACCCCAATGTCAAAGGACAGGCATCGGCACTGTGAGTCCCACAAGTGTACCTATTCAGGGAGTGCTCTTCCTGACTGTGGAGGGCTCTGTGGTGCTCAATAGTGTCCTCACAATTTCCAAGCTAGGAGTGAGGCAAGGTCAGACTCAGCACCTTCTCTAAGACTGAAAGTGAGATGGCTGGGGAAGGTGCTTGGCCTTCTGCAGGCACAGGGACTCTTTAGTTAAATGAACCATAGGAATCCCAAGTCCAGTCTCTAGAGTCCCAGATCTTCACCAGGAGACAGGACAGCAAGCCCCTCCAGATGGCAGGCCTTCAGGAGAAGTCTCCAACTATATTCCCCTCCAGCCTTTTATATAATATACCTACTTCTAGAAACTGTTGCAGGACACAGGTGCCTGAGTCCTCTGTGACCCCCTGCAGCAAGAGATAAATGGAAAGAATTAGGTTGCAAGAGCTATCTTTGCCAGTTTCCTTTATGTTTGCTTTTGAATTGTTCTGCGGACACACTGCCCTAGGCATGCTCTGATTCCAAAGAGATAAACTGGACCCCAGATGACCAGGGAGCCACTCTGAATCTCTCAGCCACCAGCTCCAAATTGTTCCCTTTGACTGATGCTTCACGGCCCATGGCCTTTTACAACCCTTAACCTGGAAATCTGCTGGCTCCTAATTCAAGTTAACAGAATTGGAAAGGCTATTCGTTGAGCATCTACAGTGGCTATGTATTGAGCTCAGAGAGAAGTAATAATAGCCGAGCCCTGTAACAGCGATCACCATCTCAGGTGCTCCTATTTTAGTCTTCAAAGGGCCTACATGTTGTTTTTCTGTGTGTGCCTAACAAAGACAGGGAATAGTATGCCTGGATATCTATTGCTGTCCATGAGGACACTGGACATCCTTATATAGGAAGAATCCAGAATTCAAGTCTGGACTATCTGGCTCCAAGTTCAGTTCTTTATGGTGACAAATAATACTTAGATTAAGCTTAGTATTTCCAGGGTAGTGTGTTTTACCTGTAATAACTCATTTGATGCCTACAACACTATAGGGTAGATACTATCATTACCCTCATTTCTCAGATGAGGAAACTGAGACACAGAGAAGTTAAGCAACTTGCTCCAGGACATACAAATAAAATATGGTAGATTTGGGATTCAAACTAGGCAGCCTGGCTCCAGAGCCTATGCTTTTAACTATGGAACCACATTGCCCCTCTGAACACACAGCTCTGGCCTCAAAGAACATCATCAGTTTAGAAGCAAGATAATAGAACTGAGTTTAGAATATGTGGTATAGATCATAAACACTAATTAAGGTTAGGAAGTGAAGGGATGCTATTTGCCAAAATTGTTGGTAGAACTTCTCACTGAGCTCTGGGGTGACCAGCTGTCCCGGTTTGTTTGAGACTGAGAAATTGCCTAAGTGGGACACAGGACTTTTGGTATTAAACCAGGAAAATCCTGGGGAAACCAAGACAGTTGGTCACCCCATTGGGCATACCCCATTTTTCCCCAGACGGCTAGTATCTGAAGCTGGCCCTGAGAGTTGACAGAATTTAAAGAGGAGATTGGGAAGTTTGTATCCAAGGGCAACCTGGTCTGGGCAGTGTCAGCAAAGGGCCCCTCAGGGCCAGAGTCATAGACATGTGATGAGGAACAGTGGAAAATGAGAGAGGGATGGCAGTGCGCAATTTGAAAGGGCTTCAAGTATAGGATGGAAGAGTCTGGTGTGGCCTAATAGGTAGAAGGAGCCACTTAACCATCTCGAGCTTGGAACTGTGTGGTGGTTGTATAAATGGTTACAGAATGCTGTCCTCGATCTTGCCTCTCCTTCTGCAGTCCTGCCTGCCCCTAGTCCTCTCACTGCTCTTCAGCTTGCCCTGCCCAAGGGATACTGTGGGAGGAGAGGGAGGCATGAGGGGATCTCTGGAGCTTGGGCAGGGAACACTCATGTTTGTGTTTCTCTGTACCTCCCTGCAGATGACTGCTTATGGGGCTTTCCTACATAAGGGCTCTTTTTGCCGGAACTACTTCAACATCTTGGACCTGTTGGTGGTCAGCGTGTCCCTCATTTCCTTTGGCATCCAGTGAGTAGGGCTCCCTCAGGCCCAGATGGGGACACACAATTGGAAATGGGTGTCAGAGGGGATGACCAAAACTCTGGAGGGCATTCCTGCATGGCCACCAGTGTGACTGTGACAGGAACAGGGTGGAGCCCCTGACTTGTACAGCCTGATGGCTTTTTGTACACATCCTTAATGGTGTGACACTTGAGAGTATGTTTAAATATCTGGATCTTGCCATGACAGGTAGGGCCAGGCCCAGTTATAATGAGAGGAATGTCTCCAGGGCTTTCCCATTTCCTCCACAACACGCTCAGTGCCCTTGGCTATCCTCAGCTCCAAGGACCTGCCATTGCCATGACCAGCTCTGATCTTCCTCCTTCCCTCTCTCTCTTCAGTCAGAGAACCTGATGAGAAGAAGATGGGTGGGGGAAGAAAGAGAAAGGAAATTAGATTCTGAATCTTGACTGCATAGTGGAATTACCTGAGTAGTTTCAGGGAACACATTTGCCCCGGATCCCTCTCCCCAAGTTTTTATTTAGTTGGTCTGGGGGTACAGGCTGGGACTTTTAAGAATTTTAAAAGCTCTCCAGGTGACTCCATTATACAGCCAAGTTTGCCAATTTGCTCGTATTTAAAAGGACCTGATTACTAGTTTTTCCCATGTTCTATCTGCTGCTAATGTTAACCTTCCCCTTCAACTTCGAAACACTTTTACATGCATATTCTTCTACACTCCTCGCAAAACAAAAACCTATAAGTCAGACAGGGCAGGAGGCTGTTACCACCATTTTATAGACAGGAAAATGGAGGTTCAGGACATGAGATTTACCCAAGGTCATACCAATGGCACAAGAAAGGGGTCTTAAGTCTCTCTTTCCAAGGATGTTTTCGTGGTAAGCCTAAAAAGAGTGGACATTGGACATGAGGAGTGAGAGACCCTTTCTGTGATCATCAGTTGTATCAGCTGTCTGCCTGGGAGCCCACAAGTCTAGATTCTAATCCCAGCCCTATCACTAAACTACTATTTAACTGTGAACCAAGAACCCCCCCTCTCCTTTTAGTCTGTGCCTTCCCCACCTACCTCCAACCTTAAAAATCCCTTCCATTGCCATTCAGTGCAAACAGACTCCCTCCCTGAGACACTGGGATAACTAGGAATGCCCTTTGAGCCCTTTGGAATAAAAGAGCCATGAAAAAAAAAAAAGAGCCATGAACTAGAGAAATCAGATCTTTCTACCAGCTCCCTCTTGAGCACATTATCCTAACCTCATGTAGAATGAAATCAGCATTTGCTGATGTGTCATACATTTTTTAGGTCCCAAGGTGGGTACAAGAATCTCCGAAAGCTTGAGAAGATATCTCAATCAGATGGGTAGTGTGTAAGATAGACCCTACCTGGGTTGGGTTGATGAATAACTGCAGAAACCATGTAGGCTTCCTGCTGAGTGGTTTGTGGGGAGAACTGCACCCCGGTGCCTCATTTCCACTGGCAAACAGCAAAAGCCTGAGGCTCCCAGAAATTTTGGCCAGGCCCTAGCATCCAGGTGTGTGGAACCTGCTGTGTAGAATCCGTTCCTTCAAGTCCTAAGTGTTCTATGAACCAGTGGGTTTTATATGCACACATAAAGGGCGACTACCTAGGGACGCATGTTTGGAGTTATCACCAGAATATCCTCTCCCACACCCATCACCTCCAGCCAACAAGATCTGAAACTCCATCACCTGTATAGCATTTCTTCAAGTTCAGTGATGTCTTCATCAGACATAGTAACATAGCTGAACATTTATTCAGCTCATAATATGTGCCCAGCACACTGCTAGATGATGCAGGTATGTTTCCTCATTTAATCCCTGCAACAACCTTATGAGACCCACTTTACAGATGCAAAACTAGGGTTCAGAAAAGTTAGGAAATTTATCCTCGGTGAATTGACTGTTAAGTGGCAGAGCTGGGGTTTCTCTTTTCTTTTCTAAAGCTCCCCTGAGTAGCCCATTATATTGCTAATGATTCATGGTAAACATATTATTCATATTATTTACATACCAACAAGAAGTCCCAAGCAAGTTCCAGGCTCTTCTAGGGGCTGAAGGATAGTCCCAGGACAAGAAAGTTCCCAAAACAGACTTTATACTTTCTCAAGTTTACCTGGGTTCAGTCTGTCAACACACTCCCTCACCACATGATTTCCTGCTCCACTAAAACAGCTTACTCTCCTGCCCTGTTTCCCTCTCCCAGGTCCAGTGCAATCAATGTGGTGAAGATTTTACGAGTTTTGCGAGTCCTCAGGCCCCTGAGGGCCATCAACAGGGCCAAGGGGCTAAAGGTGAGAAGCATGGGCCTTGGTGGGAAGCCATCAGCACAGCAAGCATCTATCTGGCTATGGGTTGGTGGAAATTAAGCAACAGGATGGGGAGGCTGGAGGGAGGAAAAATGGCCAGAGCAGGTGGCTGCTGTGTTGGAGCCTGGACTCTCCTGCCTATACCACCAGTTCCACTTCACGGAGAAAAAGAACAAGGACAGGCAGCCAGTCACTTAAAATCAGAACTTCTAAGCAAAACTCTCACAAAAAGGAGATGCACACACAAGCCCAGGGCCGTACATAATGAAGAGGTCCCCATGCTTCTACTTCCTATAAAATGGGAAGCTAGCAGGGCTTTTGTCCATGGAGTCACCTAGAACCCATCAGGGGACTTTGAATTCCATTGGGTTCCATCACTATGTGAACCTGAGAAGGTACTTTGCCTGTTTGAATCCAATTTTCCCTCTTGTGGCAAAGGGGCTGCTCATGCAAACTCCTCAGAAAGGCTCGTCGCTTGGCTAAAGGAAGCTCAAGCTGCAGGCACTCCTGAAACTCTTCTCTTCCCACTGCAGCACGTGGTTCAGTGCGTGTTCGTCGCCATCCGGACCATCGGGAACATCGTGATTGTCACCACACTGCTTCAATTCATGTTCGCCTGCATTGGGGTCCAGCTTTTCAAGGTAATATCTTGGCTCTGATCTGTGCTCCTGCTTCCTTCCCCTCCTGTCAGTGTTCCTGAGAAAGAGAGCTGACAGATACAACAAAAAGAGGACAGCGGCCCGGATCAGGCTTGGGATGAGCGGAACCTCAACCTTCCTCTCAGCTTAGCCCAGGGGAAGAGGAAGAGCCTAGAAGGAGGTGCTCTCTACCAAGCCAAGGACCCTTCCCCCTACAGCACAACCTGCCCTTCCTTCTAGCAAGAAAGGGAGAGGGACTCTTATTCTCTAAAACCTCATGTCATTCACCTGCTTAAAACCCACAGTGGTCCCCCATTATCAACAGCATCAAATCCACCCATCTCCACCTAGCTTTCTGAGCCCTGCATCCACCCAGGCTCTCTCTCACTGCTTCTAGACAAGGTTCCTTGGCTATTGATTTCTGCTCTTTCTGCTCAATCCTTTTATTTTTGCTGTTCCCCCATCTGAAGCATTCTTCCCCCTGCCCTCTCCCACCAACCATATAAATTCCCCTGATTTCTTCCCATCTAATTTATCCTTCCAAATCCCGTTCCACTTCCACCTTCCTTGGGCCAGCCAAAAGAGTCCAGCTTTCATGGAGTAGAGTCCCCCCGCCTTTTTTTAAATTTCAGTGGTACTTGCAGCACTAAGCATCTTTATTTGCTGACTGCTTTGTATATGCGAGTCATATCTTCCTGATTAGATTCTGCTCTCCTTGCATTTTCATCCCAAGTTCCTAGCACAGTGCTGGGCTATAGAGATGATCACTAATCAATTTTTGACTGATTCATTGATTAATGAACATCTCCAATCACTTTGTTCTTCTGCCTTCCAGGGAAAGCTCTACACCTGTTCAGATAGTTCCAAACAGACCGAGGCGGAATGCAAGTGAGTACAAGCTGGAGGGCAGCCAGCACCGAGGCTAGTTAACTCTGGGAGGTTGGTAATTTGGCCTGAGAGGAGGGACAGCCCGTTCTTTCTGAGATGGCACTGACAGCTGGACTTTTACCCATGGGTAATTTGATCACATTGACATGACATGTAAGATTATCTCTTCTTGAAAGGTATACCCACTGAAGTTCTTCCCAACGGCTAGCACTGTGGGATTTAAGTCTGGCCAGTCTCATCCCACCCAGCAAGCCAGGAGTCATTGGTGGGTCACATGTGAATGGAGACGAGAGACCAGAGAATTAACTCATCTTTCTTTTTCAGGGGTAACTACATCACATACAAGGACGGGGAGGTTGACCACCCCATCATCCAACCCCGCAGCTGGGAGAACAGCAAGTTTGACTTTGACAATGTTCTGGCAGCCATGATGGCCCTTTTTACCGTCTCTACCTTTGAAGGGTGGCCAGAGTGAGTATACAAATCAAGTCCTGTCCACTCTGATATGAGGCCAAGATATTTCCTAATGTTTATTACTGTCCACACTCCTTCCCAGAGGTCATACTTACCTGTGTCCTTCCTAAGCAATGAGGTTTTATTCTAGAACAAGCCTCGTACCATAGTCATTGCTGAAACATAGACCCTTCTTTTTCTAGAAGATGTCAACATTTCAGAAAGTCCAACCAAAAGTGAGCTGCTTTTAACTCCCCTTCTCTACCTCAGAGTAAGCCACAATTATCGGGGTCTTTGTCATTACTCTCATGGCATCTAGGAGTGGAGTGAGTTTGTCCACTGGATTACCAGTGAGTTTCTCCCTGGATTACCATAGAATTCAAGATTACTACTCCCAACATGCACTTAATGTGGGTAGAAATGACAGAGATATTTGTTTTTTAGACTCTACCCCAATCTCCTTAGAAAAAAAACTTGCCTTAAAAAAAAAAAGAAAGAAAAAAAACTTGCTTATAATTACAGTGAGAAGTAAGAAAGGGATGGAAGCCTGAGTCTGAATTCCTTTGCAGAGATAATGCCTCGATCAGCCAGGCTGGCCTTTTATACTGCTTGTCCATCGGTGTTCCATATGTCTTGTATAGACACCTGCTTCCCCATGCCCTCTACCTGCTGTATTCCAGGAAAATTATTGTTGAAAAGTTAGAAAATTCTAAATATTTCTAAGTCAGTAATAGCACATGGATCTGAGATGAGAGTCACCATTCTTATGTGGTAAATATAGATAATACCTAGAGAATAACAGAATAGTGTAGAGAATAACAAAGGAAAGAGAGGAGATAATCCCTGTCCATGAAGAGAAACAAACGTAATGGGCACATAGTCCAGGCCCAAACAAATGGCATACACATGTAACCTACCTAAGTATAAATCCAAACCATTGTTGATAATCTGAATAATCCTGGGTCATTTTTCATCTAGTATTTTTATCTAAATGGATATTTGCTCTCAGATAGATTTATTTTATGTTCACTGTAACATCCTCTGAGTCTATGCCAGTTTGCAAAGCTATTTCAATATTTACTAATGTTTCCAGTATTTGAAGTCAATGCCCATGACTCATTTTACATTAAAATAATTCTTGACAGTTTCAGAACACCCTCATATACATTATGTCAACCACCCTGTAAGGTAGGAAAGTTAGGAATTATTGTCTTCATTTTATAGATGAAGAATCTGAGGCTCAAAGAGGCTTATTTGCTCATGGTCCCATACCAGTAAGTGGCAGAGCTAGGCCTTGAACTCAGATCTTCTGACTCCCAGCCTAGAACTGTTTCCAGCTCCCCTGATCCAAGGATCCCTAAGAGAACAGTGGTGCCATCGTTCCACAGAGGTGACACTGCTTCTCTGCTTCCCTCTGTGGGGCCTCTCTCCTCCTGCAGGCTGCTGTACCGCTCCATCGACTCCCACACAGAAGACAAGGGCCCCATCTACAACTACCGTGTGGAGATCTCCATCTTTTTCATCATCTACATCATCATCATTGCCTTCTTCATGATGAACATCTTCGTGGGTTTCGTTATCGTCACCTTCCAGGAGCAGGGGGAGCAGGAATACAAGAACTGTGAGCTGGACAAGAACCAGGTAGCTTCCTAGGAAGGAGAGGAACAGGTGCCAGGGCAGGGGGGAGCAGGGCTAGGTGAGAAATGACAGCAGTTGGCAGCTCGTGGCCCACCCAGAAGAGAAGCTGTAGTCAGAGAAGAGATCTCTATGCAGATACTAAGATCATCTGTCCATTCCTCAATGAGGGAATAGGGCTGTCAGTCTTCTGCAAGAGCCCAGACAAAAGAAATGCAAATGCCTGCAGATCCTGGATCTGGCAAGTGCATTCAGCCAACAAATATTTGTTAAGCATCTACTTAGGGGACTCTATGATAGATTCTGTGGAGAAAAAAACCTCATGCCCTATGTCTCAGAAGTTGACAAGCCAGAAAGTTGCCCACGTGGGTTGGCACACTGATAATGAAGAAAGAAACTAGAATGATGAGGGAGTGAGAGTTTCAGGGATGGGGAAGAGAAGGGCTTCAGAAAACCACTAGTAAATGGTTCCTTAAGTAAAACACAAAAGCCTGTGCATGAGGTGGGGACAAGAAAGAGGCTTACGTAGGAATGATATGGTAATGACAGTATTGTAAGATATTCTGTTGGCCTATAAGAAAGAGCTGGCAACTCCATCAGTGAGGAATGAAGCTATTACAGGGGCTGCAGCATATGGTCACTGACATCACTTCCCCAGCTAGGCTCTCTGATGGGAAGAGTCAGGGGGAACTATATTCCTGCCCATAAGTGACTTAAGATCTTGTATGGGAAGGCACATGACACAAGACACACAGCACTACACCAGTTAGGCAAGCTGGACCCCTCATGGGTTTTGATGTCAACCTCTTGGGTTTAGACTCATCATTCTTGCTGCTATATTGCCTTCGGGTTGGAAGTGAGATGGGAAAGAAGGGGGCCAATTAGAAAGTGTAGATGAGAGTTGATTAGAGCCTGATCTACTGTCAGGTTAATGATAATGGTGGTAGGCAGAATAAGAGGAAATAAAATTGGTCAGGCCTACAGATTGGATGAGGAGGCTGAGGGTAAATGAAAAGACTAGAGTGACTCCCCAGTTTCTGATGTGGGAATCTGGGCCTGGTACAGAGAAATGAGTTGGATATGTGCTGGATTCCCAGAAATCTAGCAAGCTCAAGATCTACCCTCTATCCTTGAACTATGTCTTCTGATATGTGGACATATAGGTAAATAAGGAAGATTGACTTAGGACAGGAAGGAAAGGAAAAGCTGAGAAGTGCTCGCCCCTCAAGGAGAGTCTATGGCATAGGAAAAAAATCAATGGGAAGACCAACTGTCCATCATTCAGTAAGTATTTATCAAATGCCAACTAAGTGTCAGCAGTATACCAGGCATTACCAAGTTGAAAAAAGGAGACACAAACCTCTTGACTAAATCTTGGTAAGGAGACTGACTAGAGGTGATTCTTTCTCTGACTGAGGGAGTGATATAGGGGGATAAAAAGTCCAAATAACATCGCAAACCTGTAAATGAGCCAGAGAAATAGATTATTTCTGTGACTCCCTAGGTGTGTGGTTTCATCCACATCCTACCTCCTCTGCCATCTCCACACGTATCATCCAGGTTACTAACCCCCTCTCTTCATTCCCACCCCACCCCTCCTCCTGCCTCCCTCCCAGCGACAGTGCGTGGAATATGCCCTCAAGGCCCGGCCCCTGCGGAGGTACATCCCCAAGAACCAGCACCAGTACAAAGTGTGGTATGTGGTCAACTCCACCTACTTTGAATACCTGATGTTCGTCCTCATCCTGCTCAACACCATCTGCTTGGCCATGCAGGTCAGTCTGAGGGGGTCCCTAGATCCATGATCCTGTAGGAGGGAGAATGCTAGGGAAGGATATGAAGTGTAGAAGAGCTGCATGGCTGTCTCCAGAGTGTCACCTTCTTGTTGGCCAAGAGCGGGGGAAAAACAGAACAAGTGTCCCTTCTCAAGGATGTGCTCCTCTCTGGGAACTTATAAGAGAATCCATAGAGGCCTGGGTTAATAAAATGTTAAGAGTGAGGGAAATGGAGAACACAGGGGGAGCTTGAAGAGTTTGTTATTATGAGGCATGTTTATAGAGATTGATTCTATATCCACCTGTCTTCAGGGAGGTCAACTTGTGCTTGAGCTCTCTTGAGAACTGGAAGTCTCCATAAAGTTGTCATAACCAGTCAAAGCAGGAACACAGAACTCTGCCAACATGTGTTTTCAGAGCTAGCAGAAAAGGGAAGAATTTGCAGGATTTCCTGAGTCCAGCTGGCTGCCCATGGAGATGAAAATGGCCTTCCAGGGCTTGGTTCAAGGAAGATCTCTGTTGAGAGGAGGGTGGCAAGGAGTAGGGCTGTCCCTACCTCACTTTCACAGTCCTTCCCCTCCCCTCAGCACTATGGCCAGAGCTGCCTATTCAAAATTGCCATGAACATCCTCAACATGCTCTTCACTGGCCTCTTCACCGTGGAGATGATTCTGAAGCTCATTGCCTTCAAACCCAAGGTAGGCCTCTGAAAAAGGTGTCTTGTCTGTAGGCACTGAAGGGATAGAGAAGGGGAAGAGGAGTGCAGATACTGAAAGAAGGAGAGTGAGGGGCAGAAATAATCAGTGAAAGACCCCATCTTGGAAGATAATTGTTGCAACTCCTAAATCTACAGGAGTTGTACCAAAACAACCCCTTGAAATAGAGTCTCCGCTCTAGTCTGTGGCTGGGAAATATAGGAAACAGATTCCTCCGTGAGCCAAGCTTCTTCTTCCAGGGAGGCAGATGATGGTCCTTCTTCACCCCTTTCCCACCCTGTCTTCACTCTCATCCCCCAGCACATATTCTAGAAGAACTATGCCCACAGACTGGCAAGCCAAACCTCTTCACAACCAGCCCCCCAGATTCACTCAGGCTGCTGTTCTACTCTTCTCTCACTTCATCAGCCATACAGACCACTCTCATTGCAAAAGGCCCAGTCAGGGCTTCATTTGCTCAGGGCTCAGTGTTCCAGCCTATGGGGTCCTCCTGTTCATTATTCTCTTGCACTTTCCAGTACATGAAGGGCAAATGTCTGTGGTTTGCTACTTGTGAGCAATTTCTAGAAAAAGAGGCTAGGAGAAGGATTAGAACCATTGGCTGAATGAGGCAGGATAAGGAAGGTGGGATTGGCTGTCACCTTGGATTCTCTGTGCCCTTGCTAACCAGCCCCACCCCCATTTTCCTGGGTAATGTAGGAGTAAACTGACCTGAGCATCACACACCATCTTTCACCCCTGAAGATAGGTCAGAATCATTGGCATCCATCGGCTTGGGATTCACAACACAGGCACCTACTTCTGAAGAAGGGTATAACTGCAACTCAGTGGCTCCCCTAGCTATCGCAACTCCTTTTGGAGAGCAATGAGAAGGAAAGCGTTTGTTCTAAAATAATTATATGGTAATAGACTTGAGAAAACCTCTCTTGCTTTTTGAGCGTTCTCTCCCCCTCCTTTACTGTTTTTATAGATATAACATAGATCAACAGGAGACAAAAAGGAAGGGACCTTATCCATATATTCCATTTTTATTCAAAATTTTACTTGTCCTGGGATTAATTGGGGCAGGGGGAGTGCTTCTGGGCTCTTGGATCCATATTCCTTTAACAAGATGTCTATCATCTTCTTTGAATTAAAATTCAACTAACATTTCTGAATAACCTACCATGTGCTACACATACCTCATTGCATGTAATCCTCAAAACACCCTCAAAAGCATCCTCATTTTAGGGAAGAGGGAAGTGAAGCTCAGAGCAATTAAGTATACTATTAATTAATTACACCATTATTAAGTGGCAGAACTGGGAATAAAACCTGCCTTTTTAGTTGATGTAATTTCCACCACTCCAAGCTGTTAGCAAGCATCTTCCATGCCAGGTGTTCTGCTGGGTGCTTTACAGAAAGAAGGAAACAACCTTTGAGGGACTTCAAAGATATTCTTGCAATGCTGATTCCTTCTCTCAAAGAATGCCTAGGGATCTTGGCTAATTTTCAGAGAATAAGACTCCTAATAAATGTCATTTGGTGATAATAATGGTGTTTCCTACCTCCTCCAGGGTAGTAAGTATACTCTTTTCACTTTCCATTCCAAGCCCAGTCTAATTCAGGGGCATAAATTTTGTCCTGACCTAGAAAAGACCACTGAATGTCACCTTCCATAGGGACCATGGTACCTCTGCTTACCTGTGGTCCTATTCCAAACCATGTGGCCTGGCAGTACTGACAGGTTCACAGCCCACAGCAACGTGACCAGTGAGGCTGGGAATGCAGGTTCATTGCCAAGTTGAGCTTCAGTCGCAGATGACAGCCTCTAACAGGGAAACTGGCACCACTTTTACCTCATTTCATGAGACATATGGTTTAAATATTTCAGAGCCTTGAGTCATTCCACAGTTGACTCAGATGTGTCTCTCATGATGTCTGATGCAGTCTGTAGAGCCCTGCAGTGGACTTTGTGAATTATACCTCATGACCACAGAAGATATATTGGGCAAACCTGCCCTACAAAGCAAATGAAATTGATCCCTACAGGGTCCTCAGCCTGAAAGACACCCTGCAGATCAGGAAATAAGCCATTTTCTAGGAAGTAGCTAGCTGTGGTGGTCTAAACCATAAAGTGACTGCTAGGTTCCTCAATCCCTAGTTTTCTATTGTGATAAGATAGAGTAAAATAAGAAAGACTTTTCCCAAAGAAGTACCTGGGTCCTACATGATTGTGTAGGACCAAGTTGGCCAGCATGGAAAAGTCTTGGTTAGAATTGTCTGAAGGTAACTAGATAACTTGGTTGTTCTCTTAATAGTGAATTGAAATGCATCAGCAAAGACACACAAAAAAATTAAGATATACTTTATGATAAGCACTGAAAAATATCTAATGCCTCAGAATAAATCTAACAAAAAATTACTAAGATCTCTGCAGAGAAAACTATAAAATTTCATAGAAAGGAACAAAAGAAAGCTAAGTAAGTTGAGAAATATATCGTGTTCATGAATTGGAAAACTCAATATTATAAACATGTCCTTTCTCTTTAAACTGATCCATGGATTCTGAACATCCTAGTGAAAACTCTAGATTGGACGTTACCCAGAGTGAGAACAGCAGAAGAAAGGGAAGCCGCCAGCAAACCCTTTCTCGCTGATAGGATGACCCTGGGTGGTCCCAAGGCTGAAGCCCACTTGGGCAGCTCTGACATCCCATGGAGAGAGAGAGGCAAGAACCTGGTTCCAGAAGCAGTGCCAGGCACAGATACTCCACTGTTAACTACAGGTTTTAGTACCAGAAGGGGTGGTGATATCACTTGGTTGCCTGGGATTTGCTGTTGACAATGACTCAGCCAGCACAATGAGGAGGGGAAGAGGGAGAGGCTTCAGGTTTGCTCTCCTTGGCCCAGGAAGGTAGGAGTTCTCCCAGTGAAAAAGGCTCCTGACTATTCTGCTCCCTGTAAACTTTCACGTGGGTCATGAAGGGATGAAGAAGCAGGTCTCTATCTCCCTCTGGGGAGGATGCTGGAGGGGATTTGACTCTGGCAGCTCTCTGTGATCAGAGCCATGGCCTCCCCTTTCAGCTTTCTCCCAACTTGAGAATAGTCTAGAAAGGTGAAAGGTGAACAGAACCAAAGTAAAATCGCTCATTGACCTTCCTGCCACCGCAGGCTTCTTGAATAAGAGCAGCCAAAGCCTTGGGACTTACTTTCATGATGCAGGACAAATTAGGGCCCAGAGGCATTTCAAACCTAAGGGATCAAGTGAGGTCTTTGGACCAGCTCTAGCTAATAGAACTTCCTGCAATATTCCACACACGCTGTCTATAATATAGCCACCAGCCTCCTGTAGCTGTTGAGCACTTGAAATGTAGTTAGTACAGCCAAGGATTGGTTTTTCAAATATATTTAATTAATTTAAAATTATATAGCCAAATGTGGCCAGCAGCTGCTATATTGGGCAGCACACCTCTAGACACTGCTCTTTCCCATAATATTCCCAGCTTCTGCTGTCCTCTGTCTATCTTGGTTTCTTCAGCCCAGCTGCTCTGGCTGGCTTCATGAAGCCAGATGGTTTACCTCACCCTCCCACTCTCTCTCCAGCTGTTAATTTTCCACCAGAAATTGACTCATGATGGTGGAAGCCCTCTTATCAGGGTAAGACGGTCTCTTGCTCTGGGATCTCACAGTGTGGATTTTCTCCTGACTTGGCCAATTCTCGAAGTCATCCCTTGTCACCTGCAAGTGTTGAGGTTCTTTCCCTATGGATCCTGTCCTACCAGTCTCTGAGCTAAGGAAGGCCCAAAGGAAGGCAGAGAAAGTGCCCTAGCAGGTGCCGTCTGGAATTAGTCTGCTGCCAGAGGTTGAATATAAGGTGTGTCCCTGGTGATCCCTGGGGCACCCAGCTACTCTTTTTTCCCAGTCCATTGGACTTCAGACTAGGTTTCCTGATAGTATGTTAGTGCCCTAATGAAAGTGACATCTGAGAGCCCTACGACCTACCCAGTTCTTACCTGACCCAGGATGTAGAGCCTTGACCTCACATATCCCCAATGCTGGCCAGAGACTGGCTGCCTGGTAGCTTTGATGTCACTTCCAAGGGGGGTGCCAGCCTTCCAGCCACATCATCTCCCCAGCTCAGCCCTGCCTGGCCTCCTAACCCTGCCCAGTGGCTTCTACAGCCAGGCTCCCACATGCCTTATAACAAGCCACCTGAACTGCCTGGGGCTGTGACTCCTGTCCCCTGCCCCCAACACAGAGAACCTGGCTAACATTTTAATAGTGTCATCTAACAGTGGGGCAGTAATTGTGCTGCCACTATATTGTCTATGCTTTGGGGGGCTTTTTGTGTAGTCTCTGTTATCTTTCTGGAAAGAGGACGTGAGGGCAATGAAGCCATGGCTGCTTCTTGGAGAGTAGAGAAACAGAGAGAGGGTGAGATTGGAAGCAGGGGCTGATGCTGGCAAAGAATGCAGATCCTCCTTTCCTCAGTCTGTTGTCCTGAGGAGTCCATCAGTGGCTCATGCACTCTTCCTTTGGCTGGGAGCAAAGGATGAGTCATAACTAGAAGGAAGCCTGGTTAATGAGATAATTTGAGAATCAGAGCTGCTCAGGACCATGGAGGTCAAATACTTGTCAGGCCCCTCCCTATAGCCCAGCACTGGGCACAGCCTCACTATGGTCCCACCCACATGAGTAGCCACCAGGCTATGAGAAGGAAGATACAGGAGGCTCTCAAATGGTCCTCTTAGTGATCAGCACTGTGCAGTGCCTGAGCCAGGGCCAGCCTGCTCTGCATCTTCTCCAAAGGCCACCTTCCTCTTACTGCTAATCATGCCTATACAGTCCAGGGCATCCCGTGGCTTCCAATGGTCCCCAGAGCAATCTTTTCTCTGCATACTCTGTTGTTTGTTTCATACTCTGTTGATTCTTCTCTTGGGGGATTGTTGGCCCTGACAAAGGTGGGCATAGGCCCTGGCAAAGGGAGGAGTGTTTGGGGAT